CGCCTGGAGCAACGAACCCATCGTCGGTGCTGTTTGTGAAAGAAGAACCGGAGAAGAAAATCATCAACCGGGTGGTATTCGATCTCCGGGGCCCCAACGCAAAGATTCTGTCTGAGGTCCACGATCTGCCAACAGTTGAGGATATCATGGAATCGATGGCGGGCATGATGATCTTTTGCAAGCTCGACGTTTCCAAAGCCTTCAACTGTATTCGGCTTGCAGACGAGGATTCCATTAACGCGACGGCGTTCAGGACGCACCGTGGCGTGTTCAAGTGGACGGTGCTACCCTTCGGCATCAAAGTCGGAAGCGTGGCCATGCAGCGACTGATGGATGCCATGCTGCGTGGGCTCAAGGGCGTCGCGGCGTATCAGGACGACATCATCGTGGGTGGCAAGAACAAGGAGGAACTGATCGAGAACACCCGCGCGGTGCTGTGTAGGGTGCGCGAGTTCCAGCTGCCACTCAAGCTGAGCAAGTGCGAGTTCTTTGCAACGGCAGTGCCTCTGCTTGGCTTTGTGCTGAGCGCTCAAGGCATTTCGACGACGAAGTCGGCTGTGCAGGCCATGCTGGATTTCCCCGTCCCCAAGACGAGGAAGCAGGTGCGCTCGTTCATTGGCGCGGTGGGGCACATCAGCGGCTGGATCAAAGGATTTGCTGACATGCGGGCGCCGCTGGACCAGTTGCTCAAGAAGGACGTCAAGTTTGTCTGGACGGATGATTGCCAGCAAGCTTTCTCACGGATCAAGAAGGTCGTGACGTCAACCCCGGTGCTGCGGTTGCCGCGGCGCGATGAAGTGTTTGTGTGCGAGGCTGATGCGAGTGACGTTGGCACGGGCGCGGTGCTCTACAACATGAAGCCTGGTGGCAATCCGTCGGACATGAAATGTCTTAAACTGGTGGGGTACTACTCGAAGCGTCTGTCAAGCGCGGAGCGGAACTACAGCACGACGGACAAGGAGCTGTTGGCGATTGTGCGGGCAGTGCGTCGTTGGAGACATCTGCTGACGGGATCCAGGCACAAGGTGATTTTCAAGTCGGATCACAAGAACTTGGTGAACTACCAGAGCTTGGAGGTCAGGAACTACCGGATGGCGCGATGGATCGAGGAGCTCAGCCAGTGCGATTTCAAGATTGTGTTCACGGCTGGTGTGTCGCAGCCTCTGGCGGACTGCTTGTCACGCAACCCAAACTTTGAGGGCAGTGTGCGAGGCGAAGCCGTTCGCAAGGGGTTCACGCCGGGTCAGCTGGACAGCACGGTCGCGGCCGCAGCCACAGTGGCGAGCACGTCG